TCCCCCTAAAAATTTGTTAAAACACCCCTGTAAAAACATTCTCAATTTGAATAATTTAAGCAGTTTTTTGTTGCTGCCCGCTGCATGCCACCTCAGGAAATCGTGGTTGATTTTTTCTTTGTAACAATGATCTGGTGGCTTTTGATAACAAATTATTTTGTATACACCACAAGCCATTGTAGGATATTGTCTATTAACAGAATTGCACAAGATATTGGAGAAGTATCATTAATCCAAATATCAAAAGTTGGAAATCTGCTATTGATCAATTTTCAAAAAGATTATTATTTTTACTAATCAAAAACTATGTTTCCCTTTGGTGTAAGATTCATATTTAGAAAATATAGACAATTTGTATGCAAAATTTACTACATTGTTACTAAATGTATAAGTGATCATGGTTTGTATCAATTTAGCTTGTTAATTTTTGAAATATTTTATTTCTTATTTTTCTTTTGGTATTATAACTTAATCATTAATGTGTTAGATGTATGCATATTATCACTTTTAAAATTTGTCTTTGCATATTGTCTTCTCTGTATTTCTGTAGACCCACAAACACACACAGAGAGAAAAACATACATATAGTGCATACATACATACTGTATATGCATCTAAGGGCTCAGATTGTAGGCAGAAACATGCAGAACTCTGAAGAATTCTGGGAATTGAAAGTCACACATGTGAAAGCTGCCAAGTTTGAAAACACTGATATAGGGTCACTAGCATCATCATCATAATAATAATAATAATAGGAGGAAGAGGAGGAGGAGGAGGAGGAGGAGGAGGAGGAGGAGATCGCACAGACTGACTACAAGCAGTGGCATGACAAAGTAGCAACAATGGTGCATTGGAAGATCTGCAAAAAATATCATTTGCCTGTAAGCAAGAACTGGTAGGATCATAAAATAGAGAAAGTCATAGAAAATGATAAAGTTAAATTGCTCTGGGACTTCAGAATTCAAACAGACAAGCACCTGCAACATAACACCCCGGACTTAACAATTGTCGATAAGAAAGACAAAAAAGTCTGGATAGTGGACGTGGCAGTGCCTGGAGACAGCAGAATAGACGAAAAAGAACTAGAGAAGATAACAAAATACAAAGACCCACAAATAGAAATAGAAAGACTGTGGCAAAGGCAAGCAAGGATAGTTCCAATAGTAATAGGCGCGTTGGGTGCAATCCCAAAACAACTGGAGCACCACTTGAACAACATTGGCATTGACAAATTCACCATTAGTCAATTGCAAAAGGCGGCCTTACTAGGAACTGCTTCCATCCTGCGACGATATCTGTAATACCATCAAACATCCACATCTGCCTATCCCAGGTCCTTGGTAAGGACTCAGTAGGTAGACAAAAATGCCAAATCAAGTCTGAACATCTGGCTGATTGCGATGATCAATAATAGGAGGAGGTGGAGGGGAGGGGAAGAGGAGGAGGAGGAGGAAGGGACCTGCTCAGGCAGGAAACCCTATACCATTTCAGACAAATGGCTGTCCAGTCTCTTCTTAACAACTTCCAGTGTTGGAGCATTCGCAGCTTCTGGAGGCAGATTGTTCCACTGATTAATTGTTCTGTCAGGAAATTTCTCCTTAGTTCTAGGTGATATGAATGAATCAATCTGTTTTTCTCAAAAGCAACTATAATGGAAACTATTTTTCATTGAAACTTAATATCTGACTGTTATTCAGCTGGGAATCAAAATACTATTAACCAGTATGTCAAATCAGTATAAAGCAGGACAGCCTAACCTGAAACTCCAGCATTTCATATACTCTCCATAGCTTTGGATATAGCCCTTATCGTTCACCTCAATCAAATTTAAAATTTTCAAGTGGTAGAAGGAAGACATTTTAAGAAAATGTAATATAATTGTACTAGATATATTTAATTACATTTTATTTTTTGATTTCTCCATTCATCTTCATGTCCTGGCTCCTACTAGTCCTGCATTCAAAAAACCTCCTCAGAAAGTGGGAGACTGTGAGTTCTAGTCCCACTTTAACCATGGGTGACTTTGGGCCAGTCCCTCTTTCTCAGCCCTTGTTGTGGGGGTAATAAGAGGAGAAAAATGGGTTGTGGATATGTTATTTGTAAAAATAATAAAGGTTGGAAATAAACAAAGAAATAAATTTAAAATGGTTTAGTTGGAAAGAGAGTGGGATTGTTTGACCATACAAGACAATCTTTACCTCTTTGCCTGTGCATCACCAGGACCACCTGGCCATATTTCCCCTTGCCCAGCTCCTTGATGACTTGGTAATGTTCGGTTACTTCCATGTGCACCAGGCTCTGGGCAGTGATCTCCAACATGTCTGTGAGACGAGCCTGTGCCTCCATCCCCAAGGTACGATTCATGATAAAAGCCTAAAAGAAATACAAAGAAGTTGGTGAGTATATCTTATTGCAACAGTATAGGAAAATGGCCTCAAAGAATAAGGAATCGAGATGCTGCTTAGGGAATCATCAGACGAGAGAGAGAGAGGAGGCTCCAGTGCCTTAATGGTCAGAGAAGAATTAGACCCATCCTAATTCACCAGACAATTAAAGTGACAGTCGGAGATTTGTATTTGACTTAAAAATTTGATGTCAACCCTCTCAGGTAAACCATACAAGAAACATGACTAGATGAGTTAATTGTGCTTCATTGTTAATCTACATTAACAGTATTTTGCAACACTGAAATCTGCCATCACTTTTAACAGTTTTAGTTTGTAGTTTTTATTCATAAACTCTGCATGCTCCAATGTGCATCATAATATGAAATAAGAAGTATTTTAATTTTCCTTGTAATTATAATTGTCTTTATATCTTTTTACTTGCATTCAGTCCTACAGAAAGCAGAGTTACAAAACGGCAAAATAAACAGAGTTTCCCCTTCCATGTTCTGTGTATTAAGAACATTAATGGCACATAATGGAACTCAAGTGAAGTATGGTCAGTTATCACCCATGAAGCCCAAAAAGTCTTTCTTTCAAGTCCTTTTTTTCGGACATACAGATTTACTATTGTTGTTTTTTTGTTTTAATATTAACAATAATAATAATAAAGTTGGAAGGGACCTTGGAGGTCATCTAGTCCAACCCCCTGCTCAGGCAGGAAACCCTATACCATTTCAGACATATGGCTGTCCAGTCTCTTCTTAAAAACTTCCTGTGTTGGAGCATTCACCACTTCTGGAGGCAGGTTGTTCCACTGGTTAAGTGTTCCAACTGTCAGGAAGTTACTCCTTAGTTCTAGGTTGCTTCTCTCCTTGATTAGTTTCCATCCGTTGCTTCTTGTCCTGCCTTCAGGTGCCTTGGAAAATAGCTTGACTTCCTCTTCTTTGTGGCAGCCCCTGAGGTATTGGAACACTGCTATCATGTCTCCCCTCGTCCTTCTCTTCATTAAACTAGACATACCTAATTCCAGCAGCCTTACCTTATATGCTTTAGCCTCCAGTCCCCTAATCATCTTTGTTGCTCTTCTCTGTACTCTTTCTAGAGTCTCAACATCTTTTTTATATCGTGGTGACCAAAACTGGATGCAGTATTCCAAGTGTGGTCTTACCAAGGCATTGTAGAGTGGTATTAATATTTTGCGTGATCTTGATTCTATCCCTCTGTTAATGCAGCCTAGCACTGTGTTGGCTTTTTTGGCAGCTGCAGCACACTGCTGGCTCATATTTAAATGATTGTCCACTAGGACTCCGAGATCCCTCTCACAGTTAGTACTATTGAGGAAGGTACCCTCTATACTATACCTGTACATTTGGTTTTTCTTGCCTAAATGTAGAACCTTACTTTTTTCACCATTGAATTTCATTTTGTTAGATAGCGCCCAGTGTTCAAGTCTGTCCAGATCCTCCTGTATCCTAAGCCTGTCTTCTGGAGTGTTGGCTATTCTTGCCAGCTTGGTGTTGTCTGCAAATTTGATGATTTCCCCATCTATCCCCTTGTCCAAATCGTTGATGAAGATGTTGAAGAGCACTGGGCCCAGAACAGAGCCCTTGGGCACCCCACTACACACTTCTATCTTAACTTGCGTTTCTATTCTGTTTTTTATGGCACTATTTTTGGTAGGTTGGTCTGTTTTTTCCTTTTGTGTAAAGACAGATGCAAAAAACGAATTAAATAGTTCTGCTTTCTCCCTGTTGCTTGTCATCTTCTTGCCACTTTCACCCACTAATGGACCAATCATTTCCTTCACTTTTTTCTTGTTTTTTACATGTTGAAAGAAGCTTTTTTTGTTATTTTTGACTTTGGTCGCAAGCCTTAGTTCATTTTAAGCCTTAGCTTTCCTCACTTCATTCTTGCAGGCTCGGGCTATTTGCTGATATTCTTAGTTATGTGCCCCTCTTTTCACTTTCTATACTTGTCCTTTTTATCTTTCAATTTATCAGAGAGTTCTTTATGCAGCCATGCTGGTTTCTTTTGAGAGCTGTTATTTTTCCTCTTTGCTGGTATTGTGCTGGACTGGGCTTTTATTATCTCACTTTTTTGTTTTTGTTTTGTTCCCTGCTGCTACTTTTTGCCCCAAATTGTATTTACAGCTTTATAGATTAGAAAAGAAAAGTGAGATTTATTTATTCTGCACTCAGTACCCCAAGAATGAAATCTATCTGGGACTATGAGACTTAACATGGATATTGCATGTTTTCATTAAGCTTAGATTTCTTTGGCAATACAAGAGGGAAAGAACGTTGATACGCTCTTCCAACTTTCCAGCACATTGTATCTGCTTTCAATGTAGTCTTACTTCAAAAGAGGCAATAAATAGGGTCATACTACAGCTACAGAGGCCTCTGGGAAACCTGACTCATGACCAAAAGAGGAGAGCACCTTTCCTTCATTCTCCTTGTACATGTGCAGGCTATTTGCTACAGATTGACCAACAACAATTTCAGGGGGGGGGGGAAACCCTTGCAATTGACAAACATACACAGTTCTCCTTAACTTGATCTCTTCCTTTTATGTTGAAAGATGTAATCTTTGTAAAACTTGGTAAACTTCAGTTTTAAGTTTGGAAAGGGAAAAGGCATTGCCATTTTTTCCATATGAATGCGACTTTCCTATCTAAGAGGTGAATCATTATTTTTCACTATGAAGTTAACCAATATATATAGGACTTGGTGAATCAATACAGGAATTTAATTAAGTTAGCCAGTCTACTGTACTCAGTTAGTGAGCCTTTACTGTGAAGCTTAAGTCTTTCAGTTGTTTTCCTAGTGTCCAAAGCAATGCAATAGCAATAATAATGGAAATGCATTGGTGGTGTGTTTAGAGGTGACCTTGATTTCCTTGAAGGTTTTTGTCCCACAATCTCTATGTGCCAATCCTGGGAAGCTTGATATGCAGGTAGCTGATTTCATGCACCTATACATGAACCAAAACTACAATCCTTCCTTCGTGTTTTTAGAGCACCATGTCCCATGGGTGGTCTCTCCCTCCCCTCGTCCCCATTTCACACATGCAAATCTCATTCCAAATTTAGCAAGGCAGAATTTAGCAGGTTCGTTAAGTATATCATTTTCCCTAAGTAATGCCATTTGCAAAATTTTGTCCTAGTTACAGAACTGTGAAATCTTGGAATGAAGAGTGGAAAATATTTCAGGGCTGGCCTTTTTTAGGCATTCTCTTGCTTCTCTTCAATTTTGGGGTAGCAAAATCATTGCAAACTGGCCCGATGTCATGTTCTTTATTGCATTTCTAGTGACCCACTGAAAATTGACACAGTCACTTTCAGCCTCCTTACTTAATTAATGCCAATTTGCCTGGCTTCTGATTTCATGCCAAATGTCCTGTCCTACATGCTGTAAGGGTTATGGGAATTTGGGGCTCAATCCAAGTGATAAACTCCTAAAACACTTTAGAGAATCATATTTAAACTTTTTTTACCTAAGGAGAAAGTATTTTGTACAAAGGCTCCTAGTTAATCTCTATTATCCATGAATACTTTTCAGATTTTTTTTTCATAGGGACAATGTTGCAGAAATAATTCTCCATTGAGATATATGTTATTGTTCTTGCTATATGTTCTTGCTGTTCTTATGAACAGTCCTTATTTGTTTGTTCCGCCTAGTAAATATCACAAATAAATGTCATAATATAAATGTCAAAACTTACAGCAATTTTATAGATAGTTATGAATATTGCATCTTTAAGTGTTAGACAAATGAAGTGTCTTGCCCCATTAAATACTTGGAAATGGTGGTACCTCCAATTTCCAGGGATAATGGCAATTTGAAGATAGCACCACAAAAAATTGACCCAACTGCCATAGTCTAATGAAAAAATGGTGACTACTGTGGTTCATTGTAATTTTTCTCCAGACAAAGAATAGACTTGAGATCTTCCACAAGCGCCCCCGGGCAGTTGTTCCTCCCAAGGAGATTGTAAGACATTGGTCTGCAAGATTCAGAGCCCTGGGAGATGAGGGAATAACTATCTTGTTCAACCGTGTTTGACACCTTTAAGTGGATCCTGGATTCTCAGAGTTCTTTTTCATCACTTTTAGAAATTGCTTGTTATCTGCTTTTCAGCTATTAAGACCTTTGGATTAACAGTTTTTACATCACTGGCTGAGTGATGTAAAAGCAGTAGGGTGATAAAAATTTTGATTTTAGAAAATTACAAATCCAGATAAATTTGAAATAAGATTTTGGAATTAAAAATAAGAATGCTTTTCACAGGAAAATACCTTTTCCTTAATGTTTTAAATATAGGTACATAATAAGATAATTGGCCACTAAGATAAACTAGAAAGAACTAAAGATTAAAATTAAAAGAGAAGAACACTTACATTTAATTTACAGATACAGAATGAAGAAAAATACTTTAACATTGGACATATTGAAGGATACTGTTGAATGATGAAGGCAGAACTTAACTTTTGTTAACTCTTAACTCTTAGTGATTGCTGTACAGATAGACTGCATTTAAACAATGTTATGGAAGAGGAACAATTTTAGCTGATTAAATTGAGAATGATCTGAAAGGGGATTTTAAAATGACAGACTAAAATAATGATTTGGACAAAAATGTTACACTGGAGTCACTGAAATCAATGGATGTTGTAATGTTTGAAAGGGATATACAAATAACAAACGAAGAGAGTGACCTAGATAATTTGTTTATATTGGATTTACAAAAGAGGCTTGTTAAAGCATTGAAGAATTTTGTGAAAATGAACAAATTAAAACAAAGTTAGTTTATTATTTGATCAAGACTAAAATAAATATGTTTATCTGGTAACCTTAATGGATTTCTTTTTGCTGAAAGCCTTGTTGAATAACATATTTGAGAGTATCTCTTTATTCTGAACTTCTAAAAGAAAGCTAGATGTGAACTTTGCTGATCCCTTCTCAGAATAAAGCTATCTATTTTGTA